TAATTGAGCGATTTTAATGCTGCTCATTTTTGCTCTATGTATCAGCTGCTGTTTTCTCTATCGTCAAAACATCGTCGATGTCTGACAAAAATTTCCGATCCAAATTCTCCAAATTTTGGTGTTGCCCAAATCTATTAGTGCTAGATGGAGGTCGTTAATGTCTGTACCTTCGTGCGGAAGAATACTTATTTCCTCAACCATCTTATGTATTGGCAAATTTGCCTCACGTTCGGTCGGTATGATCGGTTCTTATGTCCCGAAAGTAATCGTGTCGATCGCTCCTTAAGCAAATGAATAGGAATAGGGCTGAACTTGTACAAAATTCATCAATTGTTTTTTTCATTGTTTCTAGAGATCGGTCGTCGAACCCGATCGTCATCAGTTACCCCCTATTCAGCTCCCTACTGCTGAAGATTCTCCATATATAAGGAAAAAGGCTTTCATTTTGGGTGATCATGAGGTCCAGGAGTTTTTTGTTCTCCACTTTTGCTGCCCTGAGTAGAAAGGCGATCGTCAGGTGCATTCCAGGTATACTGTTCGCGGTGCACGTAGACATGTTGCAGTAGTTTTTACTGTACTTCCGTTTGGAATAGAGTGCATTCCGGATTCTGGTCTGTTTTATTTCGCTGAGTTTTCCTCAGCTGTATTGGTTTTAATGGCTAGTTCGCCTCTTCGCCTCTTGTGATGGGATCGAATGGATTTTTGCTTTTTCAATCGTGTTCTCGGGCATAATGCGTGCCTGGCGATCAGTATTTAGTTGAGTTGCAGTCTATTAACCTTAAAACACAGTATGCTGTCTCTGACTGCAAACTTCAATCCGGTAGACAAGCGTAATCACGGATAAGGGTGATTTATAGTCACTTTGGCATAAATTGATTCGTCTGCATGCTCGATGATGGGGCGGTCTTCCCGAACTTGCAGAAATCACTCTTAGCTACGATGTTCATCCATCGATCTTCCCTGCATGGGTGGCTCTGGCTGGTATCGCTCGTAGAGTCTTTACACTTACTAAGCCCCCTTACCACGACGTGGTAGTAATAACCTAACTCAAGGTACAAAACTATATTCGTAACTGATTATCAATTTTAACACAAACAAATGTGCCAATTCGACGAACTCTTAGTTTTTAATATAAATTTAAAATAATCGTACATTTTGTGAATGCATCAATTCTTTTCCAATTCATGGTTTGTTGCAATCACCACGAGTGAAACTCCTCGATATACTGAAAATTTAATTTCGAATAAACCTAAAAAAAGGAAACATTCAATTTACACTTTTGCAAATCTAATGACGTTGAAATATTATTTTTTATTGGTGCTCTCTGGACATTTAAAATAATTTTAAGCTTCAGCAGCTGCAGAAATGCTGTGATGACAGTCAAATCCGTACAATGAATGTAATGCAATCACAGACTCAAGCTCGAACCAGCACTCCCAGGATCTGCGCATAAACCGCACGTGTAAACACACTTCACAATACTGACGGGCAGGGGGCACGTAATATTCCAGTGTGGCATGCAACACGATGAAAACATTGTCAACTTTACTTGCGTACGAAGCACATCAAACAAATTTTGCACTTTTTTGCATTTTCTGCATTTTTTGCACTTTTTTGCATTTTTTGCATTCTTTTAATTTTTCCAATTTTTTTCATATTTTTTGACATGCCAATCAAAAAGCATATCTGGAGGCGGCAAATTTTTAATACACATTGCATTTCCGGTTGTGCTGCATATGAAGCATATGAAGCTGCAGATGCTGTATACGCTTCATGCATACTTCATATTTGGGGAGTGCAAATGCTCGTCCTTGTCGGTGTGTGTCCGTGCGAATGGAGCTTAAGTATTTCGTAGGATAGTGCAATACTACGCAGTAATTTGCTCACAAAATATTGATGTGCAAACAAAATTGTGTGTAAATGCGGTGTCAACATTGGAAAGTGGTGATTGGCCTGACACGCAATGTTGAAGGATGAAGATTTATAGCAGCATTTTGAGTGGAGCAGGGCTCTTGCTCTATGTTGACACAACTAACTAAAATTGACAAAATTAATGTGCTCATATGTGGCAGTTACTTGCACCATAAAAAACTGAGATGGCTTCGGAGTAGTTTCTGCAGAGTGCTTATGAACAGCATTTTCAGGATGAAATTTTGTTTGCGAATGCAATCTTGTGGTGTTTAATTTCAGACTAGATGACTGGATGCACGCTGTGCAATCAAATTTGAAGGTTTAATGGCATGTCTGCAGAAGGAAAGTAACATTACTTTGTTGTACTCTACTTAGAATAAATCCTTCCTAACATTGGTTTGGCGCAATGAATCAAAATTTTATTAATTGTTGAAGAAAATTTCTTGGTTAATATATATACATTTATGAGTATATATATAGACTACTAGCAGTGTTGCAGATTATATATTAAATTAAGTATATATTGATTTCTAATGAAAATTGGAAATCCTGATAAATATTTTGATTCAGTAATCAAAGTACAAATGCTTAGTAATCTCTCACGTTCTACTTTTGTATAAGTGAAAATGATATATCAGATTACCCAATCAGATTCCGGTGTTTCACTTCAACACTGTCGAAAAACCTTAATGAGTTATATATGCCGCATGCCTGTTTAGGCGTTGGAGTGTACCAGTAGATTTTGTTTCTCACGTTTACATAATAAATTATTTGTGAAGCTATTTTTTACCCCCATAGAGGGGCTCTGGACTAATGAAAGGAGCACATGCACTCATGTTCTTCATAGTCCGATACCCACATAAGACTGACATAGTTCCTCGATGCTAGGGTTTTGAGAAGTTGAAAGCATTCCCAGACCTACATGGATTGGAATAAAGAGTTTGCTAAAGATTGTAGAACTGTTTGGCTGCCTGAAAGAATATATAGTTTGGTACCTCAGATAATCCTGCGTAGGCACTCTCTTGCTCATAGCTCTAAGGCATGGACCTCTGCCTGAAAAATGGAAGCGGCTTTTCCCATTGCGATTGCTTAGCGGAATTTATTAAATGAAGAAGTGATTATCGAAACTGAGAGCTATGTTTAGAGCAAAAACAAATCCTCAAAAATGATATCGTTAGTTAGAAAAGCATTGGAATGAATGTATCACGCTTAAAGGAAACTATGTTGACGCATCAAGTTGAATTTTTAAAAAGTTTCTTATTTCAAGTTCTAAATTCAAATTCATGCCACAAAAAGTTAGTTATTCTTACAGTAGCGTTTTCTTTTGGCTGTAACTGTGATGCCATTTCAATTTATAAAAGAAAATTCAAATTTTTAGTTCAAGCACATTTCCAGACTATAAACCACACCAAACTGTTAGTTTTTGGAAATGGTATTGTTGTTCACGAACAACATCTGGGGTCTCTACACTCTAAATGTAACATTTTAATTTATTTACGAATCCAATCAATCAGAAATTAACTGTTTAATATGACATTTTCCTAATATAATGGATTCCTTTCAATTTGCCCTAAAGATCAACTCGCATTTTTTTACCATCTGGATCAATATGGCCATCTGGATCAAGTTAAAGGGTCAACTGAATTATATACACTTCAA